CAGACCTTATTTGAAACTGAATTAATATCTATGTTTAGTAAAGGTCACGGTCACGGTCACGATCCTCCCGTTGTTCATCGATTTGCTTGAGCGGGCCCAGTAACGTCTCCGTCATGAGAACTTGTTACTGTGTTTGGCATATCAAATACGTCACGGGTAGCTTGCAAGGCTCTGCCGTGCGGGCGAGATACTCTTGGTAGCTTGCCGGGCTCTCCGAGAGGGGTGGAGGAATCGAACTCGGGTCAGCCATGTTGGCCGCTTGTAAGGCAAATGCCCTACCACTGTGCTATCGTTTTGTAAATGAAAGTAAGGAAATTGTGTATTTTTATATGCAAATAGTTTACTCTATTATTGTAAACATAATTTTATTTGGAAATTGTATTACCTATAGGTACTGTTTATCTATAAGAGAAATATTGATAGTTTGATAGTGTACAAGATATTAAAAATATCCAAAATATTATCATTAGGTTTTTATGGAAGTTTTCATTTAGAACATGGCAGTATTTATTCATAGACAGTGTCCATTAAGGTGTGTTCAGAAAATGTCCCTAGAGAAGTCACTCATGAGCTGAGTACTGGGGAAAACATAAGAATTATCCAGAATTCTTGCAGAGAGTATTAGCAAAGAGTTCTAGAGGGCCTAGTCATGGTATAATTGAAGCTAAAGATAAAGTGATGTAACCTAATATTTAATATCCACAAAACAATATCCACAGTGGCTTAAGTCCAAGGTTATTTATTCCAAGTAAGCTTTAATTTTTGTTTCTTTTTTATAGTTTTGTTTGTAGGGTCAGCTCCAATGGTGCACAGGGCTTACTTGTGCTCAGTGCTCAGGAGACCATATGTGGCCCCAGAGATTTAACCCAGGTCAGGTTACAATATAGGTAAGCAAAGTATCTGCTCTATTGTCTCTCTGTCCCCCCAACTTTTTAATGTCTATTCCTGTTCATTTGAGTATAGAACTTTTAAACATGTAACTAAATGATACCAATAAATGAAAATTATAGAAGACCCATAGAATATAGAATGTTTCAAGAAACTATTATTCTCAAAAGAATGTAAAGAAAATCTGAAGGGATCAAAAGAAAACTTTATTTATGCAGAGATAATAAAGGTGTGGGACAAAGATAGCTGATAAATGGTTCCTTTATCAGAAATCTCCCATAATTATGATGAGCTTTGCACCATAAATATGTACTTTTTTATTTAATTTCTTTTTTAAAAATTTTTATTAGTGAAACACCATGAGGTACAGTTGTAAACTTACAAATTTTTGTGCTTGGGTTTCAATTGTACAATGATCAAATACCCATCTCTCCACCAGTTTACTGAATCTTGTCTGAGGCTGCAAAACTCAGGACACCAAAGAGACCCAGAAGGGGAACAGAGTCAGGTTGAATGGGAGGTTTCACCTGGCAGTACTCAGGACTTATTCTTGGCTCTGCTCTCATGGACCACTCCTCATGGGCTCAGGTGACCTATGGGGTGCCTGGGATTCATCCGGGCTTGGCTACATGCAAGGCAAGTGCCCTACTCACTCTACTACCACTCTATCATCTTTACTGGGAGCTTGTTTGTTTGATTGTTTAACAAATAACCAAAGACTTTATAGTGATACAGAAAGATACGATGGTTCCATGTTAGGCACCACTTTGGAAAAATGTTTCCATTTTTTAAAATGTAGAAAGAAAAACCAAACATTCAGCTCAGGAATAAATGAACATATCATGTTGAGTGAAGTTGGTCAGAGCGAGAGATACAGGTACAGAATAATCTTCACATATGTGGGATATCAGGAAACTTCAGAGGGGGATATCAAATGCTCAAAGGCAATAGAAACAGACAAGGGGAACCGGTCTTCCGTATGAAGATTGCTACTGGTATAAAAGTTAGGGAAGGGAACAATAAGACAATGAATTGGAGAATTTTTGCCAGGAAAGAAAACTACCTGCAAGCAACATGCTGCAGTACAGATGCAAACAGTAACATGCATAACATGGCCTGGGAAAGCAAGCCTCTTTTGCAAGAGGCTTTTAAGGTTACTAGACACTACATAGTTTATGCCAATAACCTGGCATCTGAACTATATTCCTATTTTTACAATAATAGAATGAGATCAAAGAGACCATAAATTATATACAGGGGTAGGAGGGAGTGGCAGGTGTCACCACAGGAACATCTCACAATTTGACTCACATCCTTGAGATGAGGTCTGCTCTTGCTTTGCCAACTGGAAGCTGGAAGAAACTTGCTTCACCAGACTAAACAGAAGCAGTTCCTTCCAGTCCACATCTATCTGTACATAAGAAGGTTGTACCTCTAGAAGTATATAAAGTTAGTAATATTGATCCTGTGCCTGCTGTACTACAATTGAGCTCAAGAGGCATGACTCAGGTTCCAGCCACCTCTTAAGTCTGGGTTTGTTTCCCTCCCATATACATACAGTTTGGGCAGATACACAGATTACTGTGTGACCAAAGAGCAACCTGAAAAAGGAAAGGCTCTGGATAAACTTATTCCTAAATGCCACTCAGGCACTTTTAGTATTAGTGTTCAGAGACCTTAGGAAACTTGCAATCATTTTTTAAAAAGTATTTAGGCATCATGATTTACAATATGGATAACGGTAGGATTTCACTAGCAGTCATCCCCACATCCTCCAAGAAACACCTGGGATGCCACCAAATAAGAAGTAAATAAGTAAATCCAAATAAATGCCAAATTCCAAGGTCAGAGACAATGATAAAAGTAAGAACAGAACAAAGACTCATATAAGGTTCCTAGCAGATTTACCAAGTGCTATATAGTCCAAATGAGAATAGCATGACAGATCCAAAGTTCTAAAAAAACCGCCCAATAAAGTAACTCTATCTTGCTATGTTGTAACTCAAAATCAAGATTGCTCGAGCGGGCCCAGTAACGTCTCCATTGGAGACTTTGTTGTTACTGTGTCTGGCATATCGAATACTCTCGGTAACTTGCCGGGCTCTCCGAGAGGGGCGGAGGAATCGAACTCGGGTCGGCCATGTTGGCCACTTGTAAGGCGAACGCCCTACCCGCTGTGCTATCGCTCCAGCCCTGAAAATCAAGATATGATATAAAATTTTTCAGACATAACAGTTAAAATTACATTAGACCAATTGAATCTGCACAAATACTATAGGGTCTTTTATAAAAGGAAAAGAAACTGCACTTGGAAGTAAAAACTAAATATAGGAAAGTAAATTAATAATGGTGGACTCACTTGCTCTAAATTTAAATGGCATGTAAATGCAGAATTCTGTATGTGAAATTTGTTAGTCTTTTTTTGTGTTTTAGGGCACCTACTTGGGGATGCTAAGGGATTACTCCTGTATCTTTGCTCAGGAATTACTTCTGGCAGGGCTCGTGGGCCAACATGGAATGTCAGGGATTGAACTCAGGTCATCCACATGTAAGGCAAGCTCCCTATCCATTGTGAAATCTTTCCAGCACCAAGAACTTTATGGTGATCTTAGGACAGAAAATACATGGAAGAAAAAGCTATGAGTTAACAGAATATTACTACCATACAATAGGCTAATATCAAAGTACAGTGGGAAAATAATGGGAAATTAAAAGATAAAGTCTAATTGCAAAACATCCAGAAAAATGCTTTTAAATTTTTTTTAAAAATTAATAAATTTATGTTTTGCACAGGGGTCACTCCTGGCTCTGCACTCAAGAATTACCCCTGGCATTGCTCAGGGGACCATATAGGATGCTGGGAATCAAACCTGGGTCAGCTGCGTGCAAGGCAAACATCCTACCTGCTGTGTTATCGCTCCAGCCCCTCATAGAGAAAAATTGTAATAAACTCAATGATATCAATAATTTAAATGGTTTGAACTTGCCAATCAAAAGCAGTCAGATAGATCAGAAAACAAAATCCATCCCTGTGCTACTTATAGGAAACTTTACACTTCAATGATAAACATAAAGTCCAAAACAATAGTTGGAAAATAGTCATATACAAAAATCGGAACCTAAATTGGTAGGGATAGAGATACATAAAGACAAAGAGATTTTAAATTAAAAAGGGTAACAAGAGACAGGTGTGGAATTATATAATGGTTAAAGGATCAATGCATCAATAGTATTTAACATTCATTAACACATATGTACCAAGTAAAGGGTTATCTAAATATATAAAGCATCAATCAAAGAGATAGTACAGCGGTTAAGGCATATGTCTTGCAAGTAAATGACCAGTTTGATCCCCAGAATTGACAAACTTCCTAGTATTGCCGGAAGCAGACCTAGACCCAGGAGCATCATTGTGTGTGGTCCTAAAATATCCCATAGCACCATCAGTGTGCCCCAGGTAATCTTCAGCACCACTGCATCCTCCATCCTTGCATTATACTGACTGCCCAGTTAGCCAAGAATTGCTGGGTGGGTTCCTGGGTTTCCTGAGCACTACTTATGAAAGCACCCATCTCCTCTCTCCACAAATATAATAGAAAGCAACAACAGGCCTTAAGAGAAAGAGTAATAGTAGCATAATAGTACTAATAATTTAACACCCAATTCTAACCATTGTACCTGTTAATAAGACAAAAAAATCATTAAGAAAACTTTAGGCTTAAATCACGGCAGAGCCTGGCAAGCTACTCATGATGTATTTTATATGCCAAAACTAATAACAATAACGGGTCTCATTCCCATGACCCTGAAAGAGCCTCCAATACATCAGTGTTGGGAAAGATGAGTAAGGTGATGCTGCTAAAATCTCAGGGCTGGGACGAATGGAGACATTACTGATGCCTGCTCGAGTAAATCAGTGAACAATGGGATGACAGTGATACAGTGATATAGTGACAGCCTTAAATGAAGAAATTGATGATCTGGCTAAATAGACATTTATATTGCTCTTCACCCTGAGATTTTTTTAAAAAGTTGAACATGCAATCATTTGTAGTGTATACAGGATGATCTTGAAGATATACCTTATGCTGAGACTCAAAAAAGGTATGAGTGTGCTCAATTTGGCAGCACATATACTAAAATTGGAACAGTACAGAGAAGATTAGCATGGTCCCTGCACAAAGATGACATGCAAATTCGTGAAGCGTTCCTTATTTTTGTACATCTACACAATGGAGTACTATGTAGCTGTTAAAAAAGATGAAGTCATGAAATTTACATACAAGTGGTACTACATGGAAATTATCATGCTAACCCAAGAATGGCCGAGATAAGTACCAGGAGGTTTACTCCATGGCTTGGAGGCCAGCCACACATGCTAGGGGAAAAGGCAGCTCAGATAGAGAAGGGAGCACCAAATAAAGGGTGTTGGGAGGATCCTCCCAGGATGGGTGAAGCATGCTGAAAGTAGACTATAGACCGAACATAATTGCCACACAATGCCTCTTTTTAAAACCACAGCACCCAAAAGGAGAGAGAGAACAAAAGGAAATGCCCTGCCACAGAGGCAGGGGGGATGGGGGGTGGGGGTGGGAGGGGTTCTGAGATCCGTGGTGGTGGAAAATGGGCACTGGTGGAGGGATGGGTACTTGAGCATTGTATAATTGAAAACCAAGCACAAAAATTTGTAAGTCTACAACTCTAACTCATGGTGTTTCACTACTAAATTTTTTTTTTTAAAAAGGTATGAGTAAATTCATGAATCTTGATATCGTATAAAGTATCTTTTTAGATCAGAATGCTATGAAACTGGAAATAAATCTTAAAGAGAAAACTGAGTGCAATATGTAAAGATAATACTGTAACAATATGTGTAGTCCAACCTCCATCCCACCCACCCCCACTATGCCAAAAAAATGAATAAAGCTGGGGGAAAACTTAAACACTTGAAGACTAAATATACTATTCAATACCCATTGGGTCAAGAAGGAAAATTTCAAAGAAATAAGTGAATTCTTTTTTTTTGGCTTTTTGGGTCACACACGGCGCTACTCAGGTGTTACTCTGGCTTTGTACTCAGGAATCACTCCCTGGGGGACCATATGGGATGCTGGGAATCAAACCCAGGTCGACTGCATGCAAGGCAAACACCCAACCCACTGTACTATTGCTCCAGTGCCAATAAATGAATTCTTCGTAACAAATGAGAATGAAAACATGAGCTAACAGAATGTATAGGATTCAACAAAAACTGTGTTGAAAGGAAAGTCTATAGCAATATAGCAACACATCAGGGAACAATAAAAGTCTAAATTAACAATCAAAATTTATAATTTAAGAATCTAGAAAAAGAATGATAAATAAAATCCAAATATGTAGAAGGAAAGAAAGAAAGAAAGAAAGAGCATAAATAAAACAAAAATTGAAAGCACAATTCAAAAAAAAATCAATAAAAATAGGACCCGATTCTTTGGAAAAATAAATAAGACTTACAACCCTTAGCTATACTAACACACAAAAATGAATTAAACCCTAATAAATAGGACCAGAAACAAAGGGAGAAGTTATATCAAATAGTATATAAATACAAAATATTTAAGAGAATATTGTACATAACTTTATGTCACTGAATTGGATGATTTTTATAATATACCTATCAAATATTGAATCAAATAAATATAAAATACAAACAGATGACTTAACTGTAAGGAAACTGAAAGAATGAACAAAATTCCTAGCCTTCACTCCAAATAAAATCCTAAATCCTGAAGAGTTTACTAATGAATTCTACTAAAACTTTACAGGACTTTATAATGCTTCTCCCACTCTCCTCCACTACTTCCCACCCCACCCAAAAAAACCAGAAGAAATTTAGGAAGAGAAAAGGTCAAGATGAAATTGAAGCAATCTAAGAGAATTATCAGGAACCCCCAACCTTCTCCAAAATAAAATAAAATAAAATAAAAGCACCAAAAAACCCCAGAATTAAATACCAAATCATGTGTGGGTACCCAGAGAGGAAGTTGACAAAACAAAAAACAAAAACAAAAAACCCAAGGACTATCTCTAGGAAACTTTTTACTGATAAATGAGGAATTATCAAGCAGATAGAGTGCAGCCCCAAAGATAGGGGACAGGGGTGTATTATATGCTGCTAAGGTAAAGAACTTTCCCCTAAGAAATTGAAGTGGCAAACTGGAAACCAGTCTTTAAAACTCTATCTTCACAAAACCTGATCTGGAGGCAACAACTAGGCCTGGCAAGTCATCCAGGGTAGGCAATTATAACAAGTTTGTGTCAGCTGGCTTGTTTCAGACCAGGCAGTGAGAGCCATCCGCTTTGCAATTGGAAATAGTCCGTGAGCAAGTCTGTGATTCTATGCCAAGGGTGAAGCATGCCAAGGTCTGAATGATAAATAGCTGCACCAGGCATTCATGCTAATTTTTTATTTTATTTTATTTTATTTTTATTGGTGAAACACCATGAGGTAAAGTTGTAGGCTTACAAATTTTTGTGCTTGGGTTTCAATTATACAATGCTCAAATTGTATAATCCCTCCACCAGTGCCCATTTTCCACCACCACAGATCCCAGTATCCCTCCCACCCCTCCATCCCCCCACCCCACCTTGCCTCTGTGGCAGGGCATTCTCTTTTGTTCTCTCTCTCCTTTTGGGTGCTGTGGTTTTCAAAAGAGGCATTGAGTGGCAATCATGTTAGTTCTATAGTCTACTTTTAGCATGCTTCACCCATCCTGGGAGGATCCTCCCAACATCCTTTATTTGGTGCTCCCTTATCTATCTAAGCTGCCTTTTCCCCTAGCATGTGTGGCTGGCCTCCAAGCCACGGATTCATGCTAATTTTAATTGAGCAAATTGATGAGCAACAGGAGGACTGTGCTACAGTGCTACATATTTAGAATATAGGCTCACATACACGAAGAGGGAAATGCTGCCAAACCAAAAGATAAAAGGTAGAGGTAAAGAATAAATACACAGGTGAAGAAAACTAATGGTCAAAGAAACAAATAACATTGACCCAAATATACATAAAAGTCATAATAACTCACTATTTCAATAGTTTCAATAATATCAGTTCACTGAAATATCCAATCTGAAGGTGAATGAATGGTTAGAAATTAGAAAACTAATTTTAAAGTCTATCTTCTCTTTTCTCAGAGTTGCTTTGACTATGGAGAATATTGTGGTTCCTTACACGTTTTAGAAGTATTTGTTCTATGTAATTGAATGGTAAGTATATTTTTATAAGTACTGCATCGAATATTTATGGTGATTTGGGTGGAATGATTATTTTATTGATTATAATTCTTCCAATCCATGAACAAGAACTTAATTTCTATGTCATTGTCTTATTCTATTTTTAAATAGAGGCATATTTTTCAAAAATAAGTGTTTAATTCTCTTGTTAAATATATTCTAGGTTTTTCTGGCAGAATAGTAAATAGGATTTTAAAACTATGCTGTCATCTACATCATTGCTTTTATATAAAAATACAATGGATTTATATGTATTGATTTTTCAGTCTGACGCTTTTCTGTATGATACTTGAATGATACTGAAATAAAGATATGCTTGAAAACCAGTGGAACTGAATTGAGTGTCCTGAGTTAAACCCCCATATTTATGGACAATTAATCTATGACAAAAGAGCTATGGTGCTGGGAAAATTGAATAACTACATGTCAGGAACTAAAACTGTAACCATATCTTACACTTCACACAAAAGTCAACTTGGAGTGGATCAAAGACCTTGAGTTCCACCCAGAAACTATAAAGTACATGGAGGAAAATATAAGCAGAGCACTTCAAGATTTGGACATAAAAGTGCGCTCAGTAGTCTGATACCACTGGCAAAGGCAAGTAAATAAAAAATAAACAAACAGGACTAGGTAAAGTTAAAGAGCTTATTCAAGGAAAAAACAAAAACACGGGCTGACAGCTAATAGAATAGGGGAATTATTTTCATTCAACACATCAAGTAAAGGTTTGATATCCAGGATTATAAAGTACTCACAAAGATCAACAAAACGACATTTAAGAACCTTATAAACAAATGGGGAAATGAAATGAATAGATTTTTTTTCCCAGAGGAAGACAAGTAGATGGACAGTAGGCACATGAAAAATTGCTCAGCATAACTTACTATGAATATTCTCTATGTTAAGTTGGATAACTGAGAAGAAATTAACAGATTCCTAGAACGATGTAATCTCCCAAAACTAAATGAGAAGAAAATAGAAAGCCTGAATAGGCCAAATAGACACAAGAAAATTAAATGGTAACTAAGACTCTCCCCCAAAACAAAAGCCCTGCTTCAGATGAGCTTACTAGTGAGTTTTATCAAACTATCAGAAAAGACTTACTGTTGTTAGTTCTTAAACTCTTCTAAAATATTGAAGAAAAAGGAATCCTTGCTAACACCCTCACGAAGCTAATATTACTGACCCTCAAAGCAGACAGATTCATTTCTAAAAGAGATATCATCCAACCAATCTTCTTCAGGAATATTGAGGCAAAAATTCTCAACAAAATATTAGCTCACCAAATCCAACAACATATCAAAAAATCATAAACCATGATCATGGGATGTGTGGATGGATTACGATATCTTAGTCATGCTGAGTGAAGTTAGAAGAAGATGGAGAGACACATATGCAGGATATAAGGAAACATAGTTGGGGGATAACAAATGTCCAAAGGCAACAGAATCTAAGAACAGTTCTTCAATAGGAAGCTTACCATAAAAATGAGGAGAGGATGGGTGATGAATAGAATGGGAGCACTTGGACAATAGTGGAGAGAAGTGGGCATTCTAGCAGAGAGTATGGTCTGGAATGGTTAATTCAAGAAACCCTCTACTAATAGTACTGCAAACCACTGTGCCTAAAAGAAAGTTTAATTTAATTAAAAAATGAATAGGTAAAGAATGAAAATAAAATGTGAATGAGAAAAAAAGTCAGAGCAGTTGTACACAATTACAAGTGATTTCATTCTCTAGTGGATATTTGGCGATCTATAACAGTATTTTGGGTTTTCACAAGTTGGAGGATCCAGGAACATGCAACAGAGAAAGGTAAACCTCTTCAACAAATAATGTGGAAAAACTGGGTAGCCACATTAATTAAAAGTAGGAGTAAGTAAAAAAATTTGGGAAACAAGTTTATGAGTTCTGAAGTCAGTGTATGAGTGGTACAGTAATA